ATATATATATATATATATATATATATATATATATATATATATATATATATATATATATATATATATATATATATATATATATATATATATATATTGGTAGTACGCACACCATGTCATCGTTCACAGGGCGTGGTGAACATAGATATATTATATACACTTGATAGCCCATCTAATTATTCTGCAATTCAAAAATTGAAGCCGTGATTGCAGGACCAGGTTATTCCCATGAAATAAGAAGATTCGTATGTTTTCTATTTCTTAAACAGGGAACTTAAACATTAAGTTAAACCTATTCCAGGAACATTTTTAAGCTATTCAAATGATGAAAGTCATTGTTGTTTTTCGGGAACTACCAACATGGCCGCCATCTATTCAAATGGGGGTAGCCGCTGGAATATTCTTGGCTTAAATTTTACTAAAAGAGATGCGCTATCTAGTGTATATAAGATATGTATGGTGGTGAATACCACAAAATGCCTAAATGAAGGATCTTTTATTTCAATACGCGAGATAAATAGAAAAATTGTAGGAAACAAGTTCAGAACTAATGTAAGTCATCAATATTGTGAGATGAATGATATTTCTAACAGCAATTTTTTTACAGATTTTTTGATAGAGGTGAATCAAGCTTCAAACTCTGGGTTTATAAAACTGCTCTGGCTATGTACGTCCTTCAAAACCTTCTGGTTTCATTGGTCGGCTCAACGTACGTAGCGTATAAAATCACAACGGTTTCGGAACTTGATATAAAGATGGACAAACAGAATCTACATGGAGCGAAGTCGGTCGTGGATTTGATTTTGTTAATAACCAACAACGCACTTCGTTATTTTATCGCAGAATTTTTCCTGTCTAAGTTGTTTAATGAAGATTTGGATATACTGGGAGGGAACTCAGGGAAGACTATTGAAGAAAGTATCGGTGTACGCATCCAACGAGGATGGGATGATGATCATGTATTTGATGGAATAGACCCTTAACTCTTGTACCATGCTATAGGAGATTTTAATCGACAGACAATAGACCATATGTATAAAGAGGTCAGAAGGCTTGATGGCCGGGAAGAATGCTGGTCTTAGTAGTCATCGCCTGGAATATTAATTTAAACAATTCAAAATGGCCACTATCGAAATTTTCCCGGGCGATGACTACTAAAGGCAATTTTCCATTGCAGTCACTTTACCCGCGCGGGCGGAGCGAGCTTTGAAAATCTGCTCACGCGGGCATGTTGTGCGTCAAAAACAAAAAACGCTTCCCCCGTGCGGGCAAAGTGAAGGTTAACGGAAAACGGCCTTAAACCAGTATTCTTTGCGGGCATCAAGCCTTGTGACGACACTATGCATAAGGTCAATTGGCGCGAAGTAGTGTACATACTCGCCAGTTACATATTATACTGTTCTACTTTTAAAATGTCTGCGATGGCAATTCCTTTAATTATATAGAATCAGAAGGAATTATTATACCTGAACGTGGAAAAAGCATTCATTACAAATAGGCCTACAAATCGTTCCCAGATTGTATTAATTAACAGAACTCATTCCTCCTCCAAACTTGTTATCTCTGGAGCACCCGAGGGATCTATTCTAGGTTCAGTTTTATTTCTGCTATACATAAATGATATTTCTAGCAATATTCAATCAAGTCTAAGTGTCTTCGCTGATGACTCTCTTCGCTGAGACCACCATGCAGGATCATCAAATTCTACAAAACGAAATAGACTGTCTATCATCTTGGGCCGATTGCTGGCAGATTAAATTCAATATGTGCAACAAAATATTTAGGGGTCACCTTTACTAGTACATTGCGCTGGAATGAACACTGTGACAATATTTGTAAAAAAGCTAATTCTACCATTGGCTTGTTTAAACGAATCTTAGGAAGCTGCTCTTCTAAGTTAAAGCTAGAGCATATCTCAGTTAGTCACTGGAAAAAATTTTGAAAATCCTTTGAAGGTCATAGAATGGAAATTGTATGGACCTTTATTGGAAATAGAATGAATTTTGATTATCCATAATAATTGTATATTTCCATAGTATGGATATAGTATGGAATTAATATGGATATACTATGGATTTAGTGGTGCTATTGCAAATTTCCTAGTATATATGGATTTCAATTTTTTCCCAGTGAGTCAGTCAGTCTAGTCCGCCCTATGCTTTAATACGCTAGTTGCGTTTGGAACCCCCATACTAATCGGAATTCTGAGAAGATTGAAATGATTCAACTTTGGTCCGCACGATTTGTTAACAACGACTTTTCCAGATACAATGCAATACAATACAATACAATACAATACAATACAATACAATAAAAATTTATTTATCCACGGTGGAATCTTTAGTATATATATATATATATATATATATATATATATATATATATATATATATATATATATATATATATATATATATATATATATATATATATATACAATCTACTGGTTTACAAGATTGCCGTGTGTGAGTTCATGTAAACTATTATAATACTTGTTTACAGCTTTCCGGAACTGAGCAAACGATTGGAGCATTCTTATATTTTCGGGAAGGCTATTCCACAGCACTACTCCACTGTACTGAAAGCTTCGCTTCATATAATTAGTTCGTGGCTTGGGTAGATTTAATTTCATTTCAAAGTTCCTAAGATTATATTCTGAGCCACGAACTGAAAAAAAGATTTTGTAGATATGTAGGTGTGTCACCAGCCATGTTTCCCCAATGATCACAATTCAGGATGGGACACTTGAACGGCATAGATGCCGTGTATGTTCTACAAGATCCAGCAAGGCTGCGTTGATTTAAAATTCCCCTTGAAGTGTGCCCTCTAAAAAGAAAATCCCAACTTCCAAATCGTCTTTTCTTTCAGCAAGTTTCTTGTAACGATGATATTTTCAAATTTCCATCGAACTGCCTGCGATGGCCAGAAATTCAGAACATGCGCCCGCAATATGTCTCCGCAATTTTTTTATGAAAAGTTATTCATACCTAACAAACGCAAGTTTTAACTACAAAAATACATTTTACTTAGTTTTTTGTTTAATTAACTAAAGCAGAGAAATAGATATATTAGGTACTGTCGGCCTTTTACATACCTTTATTACGATGGGATGTCATGTGATGCGCATGGTAAACGACTCAAAGATTTTGTGCATACCACGCTATCCCTCTGTGTAACCCACACTGGAAGAAAGCCTGGTTCCTAATATACTTGTTGATATCAAACATGGACGACAATTCATGAAACATCGTTCTTCTTGCAATGTTTTACGGCCTATGGACATGGTATTTATGGGTAAAATATCAACATTTTGTTCCGTAAATTGGAACAAGTTAAAAAATTCGTTTCACTATGAATTTATGCAGACAAGCAGGGGATGACATATATTTTACGACGCAAAGACTGCAAAATTCATGAAGGGATCGAGGGATACAAGCGGCCGGAGCAAACTGTACGTTTTCAACGATTTTCTCAAGTTTTACTATACTTTATTATACGCCGATGTACTATGAAGTGAACTTGAATAATGGAACAACTTATAGGTAAGATCTCGATGCGAAACATTTCTGTTTTACGTTCCAGATATAGTTTATATTACTGCGAAGTCTGCAAATGACATAGCTATTATCAAACAAGTTTAAATTAAAAAAACCGCGCCACTCCTAATGATTTATATATAACAAATCCGTCATTTTGTTTGTCAAAGTTCGCACATGCTCAGAATCCATGTCCGCAATTTCTGGCCATGGCGGAATATCAACGCTTTTAACCCTATTTGTACCGAGGGTGCACACAATGAGCGCACCCCTATAAATATTTATCCATCTTTCCTGAACAAATGATCCCATTTTCCTGTGCTTCCATGACTTCTAATATTTTTCCTCTGCCGTCATGACTGCGAAAATCTTTTTCTGAAAATTCAAAGTTATCCGAACGTTTGCCCACATTTGGCAAACAAGGAGTCGGGGCCAAAAATAGAAAAAAAGGTGGGTTGGACAGTATTTTTTGGCTGAATCACTTCCAATGACATAAATAACATAATATAATTAGAGAACATATAAAGATGGATTATTACTCCGCCTGCGCATGCGCAGTACGGAGTCTAAAAATGCCCGAGTCTGTTGTCGGTTGTCGACTGTCGACTGTCGTCAGTGTCACAAACAGGCTCCTTGATAAATGTGTACATTCCATGATATTTAGATACTTTCTATTGACATTTGTGGATAATGTTATACGATTTGGCAGCGCAATGCGCATGCTTACAGCTCTGCTTACAGTATTTTTCTAAACTGCGAACTGTGGAACGGTCTTGTGCGATGAAAAATACTAAAAAGATGAATGTCAAGACAAAGCTTCCAGACTCAACTGAGGTAAGGGATACTAAACATTCTTATTTTGGTAGTACATGCTGCATTTTGGCAACAAGAAATTCTTTAAAGTCATAAATATAAATAAAAATATTCACTCCTACTGTATGTCGTATTAAATGTCGATCTTATATTCTTGACTAGCAAAATATATTCTTGTGTGAAAGGTCCCTACAATGTTCTGAAGAGTTTAGGCTATGTAGTGTTGAGGCTATCGGGTTATTAAATATATTTCAATGTTTTGAAGAGTTTAGGAAATGTAGTATTGAAGCTGTCGTGTTTATAATTTACTATACACGTTTAGTACGCAACTACCGGAAACGGCAGCCATGTGGTAGTATTAAGACAAAGAATCTCATTATTTTTTACTGAATTTCGCACATTCTTTTAATTCTCAAGGGATTGGTTGCAAGACAAGAATATAATCTATGATATATAGTGATGTTAACAAATAACAGAAACGTCAGCTTCTTGAACTCACAGCCAGCTTGGGTTTGCTTGCTTTGCTCTTTCTACTGCCCTTGTGTGTTATGTATCGATCAATTCGAAACTTCACCATCCCCCCCTGGGCCGACCCCGGGAATTTGAACTTTTTGAAATTTGACTGATCAAATTCTCCACCCCCTGTGCAAAAAATGTCTTCAAATGCCCCACTGTAACAAGAAATTAAGCGTTCAAATGCCCCACCTTCATATGAAAATTATGAAACAGTAAATACAAAAAGTACAAAATATACGGAAATGTTTTTCGACAGGATAGCGAAATCCACGTAAAAAGTTCGGATACCTTCTGGAAATTTAACAGTTTTACACAATTATGTAGTACATACCTTCAAATGAAGCACGTAGATTTTCCATGCCCGTTTCTTTGAGCCAGTTTTTCACAAAATTGAGGCCGTTTCCCTCGAAATCTGAGAAAACTGTATTTGCCGCCAGTGCGAAGTATTTTCTGTTCATGCAGGAAGCACGCGAAAACGGGCAAAATGTTAAGACTTCCGGTTCAAATTCCCCACTCCGTTATCAAATGCCCAACCACATGGAAGACCTAGAACGTCAAATTACCTACTTCCTAGAGAAGACTTGAAGTCAAATTCCCGGGGTATGCCCGGGGGGGGGGGCGGATGGTGCAGTTTCGAATTGATCGATACATTAATAGATACTATGTGTTGTGTAATGTATTTAATTCAACCCTACTAGGACTCTGGGCAGAATACCTACCAAGCCACTCAAACATGCTTTTGGGACCTCTATTATTACAATGATGGGCCAAACAGAATTGGTGTGTCAGAATTAATATCCTATTTCTGTCTCTTATAGGTTATGGCACTTTCTTATGAAAATTCAATGTAAAGTTTGGACATTAGGACATCAGTTTCAGGCTCCTTGCACGCCATCACAGCCAGTTTAGACGTCAGCTTCAGCCCCCTAACACGTGTTAATTAAGACGTGTAGTGGCGTCAGCATTAGCTAAACGTCACCACTTCGGCTTATATTTGACTTTTCCGTCGCACCCTACATTGTCCCCATTTTCTCCGCAGGCCGGCAGGCGGAGTGAACGCCTGGGTAGGCGTCTTGTTACACATGATTTGCAAAGTAAAATATCCATAATATATATATATATATATATTAAACAAAATAGTAAAATATAGTATAACTGTTGTATATTCATATAGTTACTTCCGGTTTTATGTAATATAAAAAAGCCAGCTTCTCTGTGGCAATGTACAACAACAATAAAAATATAGTGAAGGTATACTTTGCAATCCTAATCAATCTGAGAATTAGATCGAGTCAAGACAACATAACATGGTGGCAGTGGTTGGATAAAAACCCCAGCTTGTTAATGTGAGCGATTTTTCGACACCAGCGATAGAGACGAAAGAAATATTGGACAAAACATTTCGATATAAAACACTCGAAAATGGCGTTCAGTGCACCGTTTTCAGCACCTCAAATGGATTGGGAAACTAACGACTCGATCTTAGCGTTTGGCAAATTCAAGCAAAAATGTGAGCTGATGTTCAAAAGTATACTCAAAGACGCTGAAGGAGAAGAACAAGTCAGCCATATTCTGCTATGAGTTGGCGAGCAAGGTCTCGACATCTACAACAGTTGGACATTCGAGGACGTGAAAGACCAAAAAGACCCAGCGAAGATTCTCGATAGATTTATGGAACATTTGGAGCCACGGACAAATCATCGAATTCACAGCTATACTTTACAAAGTATGCGACAAGACCAAGGTGAGTCAATCGATAATTTTATTGCCAAGATTAAAAATATCGCAGCCAAATGCAAGTTTAATGGCAATGAAGAAATCGAGGACAGATTATTAGATCAACTAATTTGGGGTACAAATGATCCTGAAGTTCAGAAATCCTTAATTGGACGCGATGAAAAACTAACATTAAATACTGCCATAGATATTGCTAGAAGTTATGAAGCAACGAAGCGTCAAATGAATTCATTATCAAATCAAAATAAGGGAAATTCCCAGCGAATTGATAACATTACACGCAAGAAATTGAACGCTGATAATAAAAATCATAATAATATTATACGGTGTAGAAATTGTGGCAAAACTCGCAAACTGCCACATAAAGGGAATTGTCCAGCCCATGGTACCACATGTAGGAATTGTGGCAAATTAAATCACTGGCACTATTGGTATGCAAATCACCTAAGAGCCAATATAGATCAAAGTCGCCATACCGAAAAAACAAAAAATCCATTAATAGTCTTGAGAAACAAAATGAGAATGACCCGTATGTAGATATCCCAACAATTGGCACTATTGAAATAAATAGTGTGAAAATCATAATAATACTACTAGTGAAGAAATATTTACTACCCTACGTGTTAACCGTAAGAATAATGGAGATATAAATTTAAAATGCAAAGTAGATACGGGTGCTCAGAGCAATGTATTGCCCATTCATTTGTTTCGTGTTCTATATCCTGAATTAATTAATGCAGAAGGAATGCCCAGGGACGGTGCTCTGCAAAGAAGTGATGTTATTTTAACTGCATATGGGGGATCTGAGATTACCCAATTTGGAAAAATACTGATACCATGTCAACATAAAAGGGGGAAATTTAACTGTATTTTTTACGTAACTGATGCAGTAGGACCAGCTATATTTGGAATAAAAGCGTGTAGATCCCTTGAACTGGTTTCACTTCATTGTGCACTGGAAACAAAACGTGTGCAAGGAAAGAACGTCTCTCGAGATGTTGCCCAGGGGTCTAGCAAAGAGGAAGTAAAGCCCAGTAAGACTGTTAGATTTGCAGATCAAGCAAAGATAATAAATCAGCAACAAAATCGGTCCAGAAATTATATTAAACCTTCTGTGCCAATAACAAGCCGTCCTCGTATAAAGGACAAAGAGCATCTGATTGAGATGTACCGGTACCCAGAATGTTTTGACGGGTCAGTTGGATGTTTTGAAGATTACACTTACCATATTACCATAGATCCTAAAGTTAAACCAGTTGTTCATGCACGTCGCAGAGTACCATTAGAACTGGTAGATAAACTAAATTTCGAATTTAATGAGATGGAAAAGAACGGGGTAA